TTAATGTAGATATTAATAAGAGAATATTTTTTTAGGTAGTTGACGTGAAAGAGATCACTTGGGGTCAGTGATACAAACCGGCAATAGGATGTTAACCATGATGCATAGTAAATCTAAATATATCTTTTACAAACTTTGTACAAAATTTTAAATATATTAAAGTGTTTATACCTTCAAAATAAAAAATTCTTAGAACTAAATTTGTTAACATTTTTCGTTGTAATGTATGTGTCGCCAACAACGCTGCTGGCGAGATTTGCGCAGGAAGGAAAAAAATGAGAAAGTTTTAATCTATGACAGCATTCTAACAAATCTCTGTAAAACTTTACCTTTGCTCAGCCATCTTACTTCTTTATGGTAAATTATATAACCATATTTGCTATCTAGCTCATCGAGAAAAGATTTAAAATGTTTAAGTAAGATTCAAAGGCTGTCCTCATATAAAATTTATTGTGCATTCAATAACAGTCATTATGTGATTGAGGTTGAGTTTTTGTGAGTAGATTTTCTAGATGAATAACACAGTGGTATGAATTAAATATGGAAAATTGTATCATCCTGCTTTACAGAGCCCAATAAACTCAGTATTATTCTCGATCATAGCCTGTGCACTGTTGATTGTGGTTACAAGAAATATTTTTATTGGTATGTTCTCTGCCTGAATATAGTTTTTAACTGGATCATGTATGTTTTTTCACAGAGAAGCCGGGAAATACCACTCTCATGATCACCAGAAGTTGTGGCGAGTCAGTAATATTAGGAGGATTCGTCAAACTGCAGGGAAAACTGTATACATTCTTCCAAATAATATTTCACTTGTACATAGATTTTGTTCGCTGTATCATCACTTTGTCATGCTGCTGTGTATCGTGAGAGAGGCACATCTTTTATAGCTGTGATTATTTCATTTTTGTTTTTTAAATTTGTGAAATAAAGACTGACATTGCTAGCATAGCTTTCTTCACAAAAGCCTCATCTAAATATGCTGTTTTGGTTAGAGTAAAGAGAAGGGTACTCCTTGTATTATCGTAAAGTTGTTGTTTCATTTATCGCCAAGTTGTTGTTTCATTTATGGTAGCCTGAGTAGTTGAATGTTATGGAAACCCTATTATGACATAATCGATAGGATGATTGCGGTAAATTCGTAAGTGCTTGTGTGTGTGTGTTGGTTAGGAAGTATATTGCTTGTTTTGAGGTTTAGATGGTAAATGCGAAGTGGTAAGAGTATTGAAGTTTCTGTACAATTGGAAGAAAGGGGAAAGAGCATTACTTGACTGTGTGCAAATAAAGGTTACTAGTAGCATTATTAAGTGCCCGTTGTAGGAAGGAAACGGTATGATCGAACGTCGGACGATGACGCACTATGGAGGACATTTTTATCTTATTTGAGAATTTATGTGGTGACGTCAGTATACAATTTACATCAGGTAATTTAGGAAGTTTTGGTGCTGTTAAGTAATTTTGTTGATGAAGACTGTAATTAGAAATAAGGTAAGTGGATGTTTCTTTGGGGTGCAAGTGAATTTCCTTTATGTATTTATGTTTGATTTAAAATGTAGTTTATTGATATTATATATTTTTTTGTTATTACCTAAAACTATACTTTACTGTTTCCAAGGAATTTCAATTAATATAGCAGATTGCGCTGTTCCTTAACTTTCTGAATTGATCAGCTGATTATTTTTGCAGGCTGTTATTATTACAGCTATTTTATGAAAATTAAAGTTTGAACTTTCGATTATGTCGAAATAATTCTGGAGCTGCAACAGGATCTACAAAGTAAAATCATGTTTCGATGTGCATTAAACAAAAAGTGGAATTGCTGGGGAAAAAAAAAAAAAAAAAGGATAAAGGTATATCTGTTTTAAAATCTCGAGGAGTATGGCTTGAGAAAATCAAATGTATATGATATAAGAAACCAGAAAAAGGAATTGTTTGAATATATTGTGGATTCCGACACTACTTGCAATGAAAACAGGAAAAATTTAACAAATTAAACTGAAAAATTATTCATAATGCTGTAAATGATGACTGAATGGGTGAGACAGCATTGCAGCAAAGATGTACCATTGACTGGTCTGATGCTAATGGCTCAAGCCAAAATATTTCATGAAGAAATTAACTTAAAAAATGAATGAACATATTCGACAGGCTGGTTAACCAAATTTAAAAACTGCCATGATAAAAGACAATTAAATTATTCAGGTGAGAAAGCATCAACTGATACTGAAGCTGCTGAACTATTTTCACTGAACTCATTAATAGTGAAAAGTTGCTATCTCCAGAACAAATTTACAGCTCTGATGAAATCAGTCTTTTCTGGCCACGGATTGGAACCGCATAACACTTTGGAAACATCTACAGAAAAGCCTCCAACTGGTGTCGAAGATTTCAAAGCGAGACCAACAGTTTTAGCATGCACAAATGCTGCAAAAATGCACAAGTGTAAACTTTTGGTAATTGGAAAAAATACATGACCTCGAGTATTTTATGCAATCGAGTTATTCGTAGCCGAACAGTATTTCACACTCAAAACAAATTTCTGCGCATTATATTTTACCAAGGCCAACTTCTCAGTGTGAAACTTTCCTTGGTTTTCGTGGCTCATGAAATTTCTACTGACCGCAAGATGGCGCTACTCTTCTGCTACACTTTGGGACGCTTAAAATGAGCAGAACAGGGTGGTTGTAATTAATGTTCCTTTTTCAAATAATCATAAACGGAAAACTACTGGACCAAATGTTATCAAACTTGGTAATCATGTAAAGGAGGTCATGGGAATTTATTTCCCATAAAAAAACTTCAAAACTCACCACCAGGAGGAAATGGCACTGTATGCAATATTGTTAAATGAAATAAAGGCTAGAATCTAACTTAACCTTTTGTTACACAGGTTTAACATGTTGCATACCCTTAAAAAACATTAATCTAAACAAAATTACCATTTAAAGGCAATATAAGTCGAGTGCGCCATCCGTGTAACGAAGAAATCCATCCGTAAAAACCATAAATTAGCAATCAGAAATTTCGAGATCGCAAATCGCTCTCAAAAGTGTTTCTGGAAATCGTTTTCTTACAGATCGCTAATTTGTGATTTTTGAAGCCTGAATTCAATCCTAAGACATGAAGATATTGGTTTAAAACATATTTAATCATTTCTAAAATGAAATTGTTTGTGGGGTGTTGAAAAACCGAAATGGCTTGTCATTGGCTAATGGTAGGAAGAAGCAAATTATTTATGCAAATAATCTAAAGAATTTGGTCTAATTGAAAGATGCGATACATTGACATATCCGTAATGTTCCTTCTCATATGCTAGGAGCTGCTGTTGAGAATGCAGTAATACGATTTAACTTTCTTTCGAAAAATGGTTGATGCCACTTTGAACATGCTTTGTAACACGTTTCAGAAACGATTAACACATTTTAAACCGATGTCTTCATGTCTTATTTTGTTTAACAATATTGCATGCAGTGCCTCTCCCCCCCTAGTGGTGAGTTTTTTAACCTTTTTTTTCCGCGGAAAATAAATTTCTATGACCTTTTTTTTACCAAGTTTGATAATATTTGGTCCTGTAGTGTTCCTTTTTATGACCATTTCAAAGTGGAACTTTATTTATAACCACCCTGTATATCATGTAAATAAAACAGCATGGATGACAGAAGTGTTAATGAATGATTGGTTTGAAAATCATTTCATAATCGAGGCTCGGCCATATTTGAATTCGGTTGGTTTACCTAATGATGCAGAAATTGCCCTAAATGTAGACAACTGTTCGTATCACACTTCATTTAAAGTTTTGGGGAAAGATAATGTATCCATATTCTTCTTTTCTACAAATTGTATGCCTATGGATATTGGAATAGTGCAGGTGCTGAAATTGAAATGCAAATATAAATTAGCATTTTTAAAATCTATGTTAAATTTCTTGAATAATGGCAAGACTATTCAAGAATTTTTGAAATATTTTAGCAGAAAATCTGCTGTGTGAAGCATCGCAAGACTGCAAGAGGATGTATCTCCAGATATTTTTAAAAATGCTTGGCATAATTTATGGCCATCTACCATATTTCATGGTATTGATGAAGATGGTAGCTGCGAATTTGAAGTTTTTTGGATATTGCAAATCAAAGGTGAAAGTTTCCAATTAATGGATTTCATAAAGAAACATGAGAAGCGGTAATAAATGAAGATGATATAAGAGAAATGTTTTATTGTGATGACACCCCAATCATCAGTCAATTAACAGATGGCGAAATCCGTAGTATAGTTCTAGATCCAGATAATACCACTACCGATAGTGAAGAAAGTGACAGAGAGGTTCCAATAGGAAACGAAAACATTTCTATTGACGACTTTGTCGGAATGCTTGACATAGCAATTACAGGACTTGAACTGTGGAACTTTGTAACTATACAAGAAATTCTGTCTGTAGAATTAAAGAGGCAGGAAGTTTGTGCTAATAGCACAAAAAACAAAGCAACTTAAACAACCTACATTGAAAGTAATGTTTAATAAAGTAAACAAACAAATATTAAATTTTTTTTGTAAATTTTGATACTCTTTGGATCATAAATGCTTCATTATTAAATAAATCATGATTTCATATTTTTAATTTTGTAATTTCTTCCTGCCATCTTACCAGATTTAAACTGATGATCTAATATCGGAAAAAATCCCAAATCCAGAATTCCTGAATCCCAAAAAGTCCGGATCTCGGAATTTGTACTAATGAATTTAGTGCACAAGTTGAACTCCAGACTGCATTTAGTGGGTGAAAATAGTTGACTGCGACAGATAAATTGAGCAGCCTTACTAGAGCAATAGTTTAGTTAACAGAAGTTAAAATTGCATATTAAGCTGAATGTTAATATTTAACAAATTTAACCATTTGCATTACATTTTTCAAAAGAAAATTTCTTGACCATTTAATAATATAATTTATTGATTATTAGTGTTATTTTTTAATTATTTCTAATTGAAATTTTATTTGTTTACAGACTTATTGCACTCAGTCAAATAATCATTCTTCAGATACTCCAGATCAGCTACAGAATGTTATCTTTAATAAAGATATCAAACCTGTGACTTTTAGCATTGAAATTGATATAGCTGCTGTGATTATGCTCATTGTTGCCATCTGGACACGTATGCAACATCTTGGAGAGCCAAGAGGTATCGTGTAGGTATATTTCGTATGTTTTTATGCAAGTACTTTTACCCCCTAGTAGTCACAAATGAGCCTAGTTCATATTCAAAATACTCTCTCCAAACTGCATAAACAAGCTCATACTGAATGAACATTTTCTTTTCAATGGAACATAGTTAAGTACTTTTATCAAATTTTGTCTCTGATTGTGTGTTGCCCAATTGATCCTATTTCTAGATATCATCCGAAATTCTTAGGGTGCAAACAAACACTGCATGTGGAACCTTTTTGAATGTAATGAAAACTGGTAGTATTAGAGCTGTTGTATACAGTCAAAAGTCTTTATAGGACGTCCTAATCCGAAATGTTTATATCGGACCTCAAGCTACAAACTTTCTGCGCAGCTCAAACATGCGCATAAATTGTATGCTGCGGATATGCGTCGGTATGTGCATAAACGTTTCGCATCGCGTTTAATGATAACGGACGGTATAAACTAAGCTAAATACTATTTCGTTAACGTTGCAGATTGCTTTGTTCCTATCTTCTATGGATCCGCTTATTTTTTTTGCAAACTGTTGGCAATTTTATAAAGTACTTGAACTTTCGATTATATCAAAAAGAGTTTACGATTCTGGAGTTGCCAAAGGATCTACAAAGTGAAAGCATGTTTCGAGGTCCATCAAACAAAAGGTGGAATTGCTGCAAAAAATGGTTAAAGGATATCCTTGATCTCTAATCATTCTGAATTGTTATCAATTTACGCTGCTCTGCGGGGGGGGGCTGCGTCGCGCAGTGAACTGAAGTCATCTTCAGCACCTCCTTATCTTCAGCAGATTTTTCATTTTATTCGGCTTAGAATTCCTTGCTAAATGTAGTTTCATTCGATGAACTGAATGATTTAAAGCAATTCTGCATTAAAATTCACGAATAACATCAAATATTTTGGTTGCAATTTCTAATTCGATATGCTAACACTGCTTATCAGCGCCATGAAAAATGTTTAATCATAAAAAATAAATATAAAGCTTTTTTTTGTAAATTTTGATACCCTTAGATCATAATTGCTGTTATTTTATTAATTAGGTTTTATTTTTTTAATTTTATAATTTCTGCATGCCGTCTTACCAGATTTAAACTGATGATCTATAATCCGGAAAAACCCCTAATTCGGAATCGCCGAAGTCCTGATGAGTCCGGATTAAAGATTTTTGACTGTAATTAATGTTGCTTTTCATCTGTGTTTTCATGTTCCACATTTTGGTGGTAAGTTTTTTTGTTAAAGTGGTACATAGAAGTTTAGGTAATCATGTAATATGCAATCTACCACTTTTAGTTAGTTAATTATTTTTGTGTTGGTGACACTAAAATTTAATCATTTCTTTTCCCTTGCATTTTATTGCATGTTCAAATTTAAAAACAGTGTTTTAGTAGTGCCAGCGAGTGAAAATGACTTGGAGGAGCATTAATTTATTCACAAGCTACAAGTTTTTATAAATATTGTTGGCATGAAAGAACACATATTCTATAAAAAAAAAATGTGTTATGTAAGCACACTTAAAAAAAAATGAACCCCTTACCTTTTTTCAACGTTTTCAAAAATAAGTGCTATTTTAAAAATTATTGCAGGAAAAACAAAAGGCATTTTGGTTATGCTGTTGTGGAATAATGTGCATTAGAGTGAAGCAGCAGTTTAAGATTTTGATAGCTACCAGTTAATTTATGTATTACTATACTGGTTCATTTTCATAGCATGGTCTTTAGTTTCTTAAAAAAATGCGGTGTTGATCAGGTTAATGCTGTATGGAAGCAGGAGCTTGTACTAAAGTACAGTACAAAGTCTCTAATCTGGACTTCCATAATCTGGAATGATAGCTACAAACTTTATGCGCATGTGTAAACACATACTGCTTTTACGCATGCACATATGCATTTACGCATGCGCATAATGCATTTGTGCATGCACGTTTAATGTATAAAGGACGCTATAAGCTAGGCTAAAATTATCTAAGGCATTTTAGTTAATATTGCAGATTGCGCTGTTCCTTAATCTTCTAATTGGATCTGGCTTATTATTTTTTGCAAGTTAGAACCTTTTTAAAAATAAGCTTGAACTTTCGATTATGTCAAAAGAGTTTGAAAGCTAGAGCTGCCAAAGGATCTACATTACTGCAAAAAATAGTAAGGCATCCATCTCAAATTATGCTAGAAGTATGGCATTGGAAAGTCCACCATAATGACATAAGAAAAAGAACTTTTGAATTTTTTGTGAAGATCTTAAACAACGACATGAAAGACATGTTTAATAAGTAAAAAATATTAAGCTTTTCTTGTAAATTTTGATACCCTTTAGATCTAATTGTTCTTTATTTCATAATTAAGTTTCATATTTTTAATTGTTATTCTTCTGCATCTTACCAGATTTAAATTATGATTATAATCGGAAAAAATTCCTAATCGGAATCGCTAGTCCGCGAGTCCGTTTAAGGGTGTTTTACTGTATATTTTTTGCAAACTTTATAAAGCGTTTTTTCGTGATTTGCAGACTGTTGTCTTTGCAGCAAATTTTTATGTTGAACGTTATTTTGTATTGCAAAAGTCTGAAACGTTGTTCGTTTCATGTGAACTACCGTATATACCCGCGTATAAGTCGAGATATTTTGGACAAAAAAAAAAAGACATTAAAGCGGGGGGAGGGTCGACTTATACGTGAGGCCATAAAAAATTAAAAGAATCAGAAGTTCAAAAATTTCTTTATATAATGCAGTTGTTTTCTTCCCGCACTCAAATTGGACGACTTATCAAATAAGTCACTTACTTGAAGTAATTTCATGACTTAAATTATGTGATGAACTAATCACAGAGTTTCATACTTTAACTAGAGTAAGTTTTGATTAAACCAAAGAATTTTCGGCCCCCGAACAACGATCAATATCAGCAATAAAACGTTTTCGCCAACACACCAAGAAAAGAGAAATGCAGATAGTTTTTGCGACGGATAAGTCTTTAATAGTTATTGTTCTTCATGAAATACTTTTGTTAACAGGCGTACAGTCAAAATTAAAGAAATAGCCTACCAATAACTGAGCAGTTTTGACTTTCTTTTAACTTTTAAAAAGGAAATCAGATAGTCGACTAACATTTACAAAGGCAGGCAACATTAAAAAGCCCGATATTACATTAATTGCTCAGTGGGTTAAAGATGCTTGGAACGAAATACCCTCTGAAATGATTATAAATCATTTAAAAAATGTATTAGCAACGAACTAGAACGGCACAGGAAGATGATGCTGTTTTTGAAAGTGAAAATGACGACGAAGGCTCTAGTAGTGATTGTAACGATACCAGAGTTCGAGACTGAAAATATGTATGATGACGAGCCAATGATGACAGAAGAGTTCTATGAAATGTTTGACGAATCTGACCATGAATCAGACGTTGAAGGATTTTGTTTATTTACCAAGGTATTTTTTATCGTATATTTACTTTTTTTTTCTCAGATGATTTTGAATAAATGTAGTACAGTCAAAAGTCATTAATCCGACTCGTCGGACTCGGCGATCCGGTTATCGCTTTTTGGATTATATCATCAGTTTAATCTCGTAAATAGCAGAAATTCTAAATTAAAAATATGAAACGTATTAGAAATGAAGAACAATTATGATCTAAAGGTATAAAATTTACAAAAAAAAAAAAACAAAAAAAAAAGCTAATATTTATTGTTTCTTATTAACCTTCTTTCAATGTAAGTGTTAAGTGCTTATTTATTGTAATACTTCTCTTTATCTATAAAAACATAATTTCTTGTTCATTACAAGTTCCGCTGTTCAAGTACCGTAATTGCTGTCCGAGAATACCGACTAACTTGTCAATCGAAATTTTTTCGTTTTCCTAACCTCTGTCACATTATTGTCTTTATCATTTTTTCAGAATTCACTTTTTGTTGTGACATCGAAATTACTTCGTTTTGTAGACCTTTGAAGTTCCAGCATCGAATTCTATTTGACCTAATCGAAGTTCAATTTTACTTTATAAAATTGCTCTACAGTCTGCAAAAAATAATAAGCAGGATCCAATTTTTAAGATTAAGAAACAACGCATCATTACGGTAGTGAAATAGATAATTAGATAATCTACTTACACCGTCCTTATACCTAAACCGCAGGCGAAACGTATTCTGCATTTTTCGCAACGCATATGCGCATAGTCAAGGCTTACGCGCACGGGAAACGCCTATGTCATGTGCCAACCGGCGCATGTGCAGAAAGTTTTAGCTTTGAGGTCGTATTATATATCATTCGGATATGGCTGTTTGAATTAACGCTTTTGACTGTACTTAAAAAAATTTTTCGAAGTTTCCGATCATTTCGAAGTGGTGATGATCACTTATACCGTGTTTCTATTTTCTCGAATTTTTTGTGAAGTGGGGGGTCAACTTATATGGGGTATCTACTTATACGCGGGTATATACGGTAATATTAATAAAATTATTAGTTGCAAAATCTAAATCTCTCATTTTTTTTATCAGCAGGAATGTTACTAAACATCTCAGCAGATAATTAAAATTATTTTATTTTGTTTTTAAGGAACATGCAATAATTTTTTTCATCTTCTTAATCTCTATTCCCCTTACAAATTGGTATATTTAAGGAGCTAATCATTTGTGATGTTGCGATTTTAAACTAAGTTATACGAAAGTTGCATGTAAAGCTTTATAGTCTTCCTGCAGTAATTTGGTTTTTGGTCGGTTGCATACAGAAATGTTGTAATATTAATATCACTTTAATATTACTAATATTACTTTAATAATTTAATTTCTAAAATATATTTAATTATTTTTATTTTCTTATAACTAATTAGTATAGTTTAATTTTAAAAAGAAATTTTAATTTGCCAATTCTGCTCTTAAACTGTATAGAAAGGAATCACAATACAAAAGTGCTGTTTATGTGGAGGTTTACTAATTTTCTATCATTTAGAGAAAAACACTGTTTTAGAGAGGCAGTGTCATACTGCAGAGGTTTTCAACCAGGGAGGAATTTTATAGTTTCAGTGGAGGATGTGGCCAACTTTATTTACGTGTTAAGTGTTTAGTTTTAGTTTATAAATGTAAAAAACTACATTTATACAAATTTTGGTATTTGTCAACATTTTCTATATTTTTTTGCTGCTTAGTTTCTGCAACACATTAAAAATTAATCTAAACTTGAATAAATACATAGTATTTTTCGAGTTTTAGAAAGGAGGAGGTGAGAATCTCCTATCAATAACGAAAGGGGTGCATGGGGCAAAACATTTTTAGAATCATGTTGTTGTGCCTGTATTAATAGTGTCCCTCTCAAACTGCATTTGTAAAATGAAACCAAGCACTATTATTCATTTGGAAATTTTGAAATATTTTCCCCCCTTTAAAATGATAGTGTAAACATTTCAGAAGAGGAACATTTATTACATAAACCCTTTTATTTTAATGCTCATTTAAGATAATATTAATGTTAAATATATATAACTGAATGGTTATTGCTAAAAAAGTGCTGAAATTCTGCTTTACAGGTTTGATGAACTCCATTATGGAAAGTTTGCAAGCATGTACATGAAACAAACTTTCTTCTTTGATTCACATCCACCCCTAGGAAAACAGCTTGTTGCTTTAGCTGGTAAGCCATTCTTGAAAATAGAAATTCTTAGTATAATCATATGCATTGGCTTGTGTTTTACAATATATATTTAGCTCATTGATTTAAAATATTAAAATTATAGCGAATACAGATTTTAAGAGATTTTATATCACTGTTTACTTGTGTATTCTTCCGCTTTGCCTGTTTTCTCACTTAGATTTCTTAATATGTGATTCAGAAATGTTTCTCGTTTTCGCTTAGCTTTCATCTTTCTCCCTGAAATCGGAAAAGGAACTCTTTATTCTTGCGTACTTTTAAAATTTATTATTATAGGTTTTATTAATAATAAGAATCTCCAGATCTAAAATTACATAGTCTAACAAGGTATTTTAATTGCATTTGTATTCTAGGGTATAGTAGCAGTATACAATGTAAAAATAGAAAAGAACTGAAAGTAGTAACTGATTCTTTTGGGATATATGTTAAATTATTTTTAATTTAATTTAATTAAATGCTTTTTAATCTGATAAGTTCTTCCTTTAAACCTCCATCTTAGAAGTGGTATATAAAATATATTTTCAGTTTTTGTTTTTCAGATGGTTAAAATTAGGTATAGAAAAGAGGAGGGGGAGGAAATTAATAGTACAGTAGAAACCTGACTATACAGCATTCATGTAAATAGGAAAAAACAATAATAAAGTATAAATTTAATAGTTTTGTATTTTGTTTAAACAGCTAGTCTTAATTTTAGAAAGCAAGTATTATATTGAGAATAATATAATGTTGCTTTTTTGTTGCAGTTACACATGATTTATGCAAACTAAAAATTTTAATATTTCCTTGTTTTTAAGAAGGAAAATCTGTTTCTAAATTCAATTAATTAATTAATTAATTTTTTTTAAATGGTTAATGATGATTCAGTTCTAGACTCTCAGAATAAAGTTGAAGCTTTAGCTGTGAGCAAACATCGGATGCTAAATAGTTAGACTAATTATTTGTGGCAAAGCATGCAAAACTATCTGCCTTAAAAAATATTAATCAAAAATTACAAAACTTTCTGAAAAAGATATGAAAAATATCTAAAACGTAATGATACTTTACATGCAATGCTTTTAATGCTTCAAATGTATTAAATTTCTGAGATTTTTCAGAAATTTTATATTATTTGTACTTTTCACAAAGTACTGAAAAAATACTTTTTAGAGCATTCCTTTAAGATATGGAAATCACAGAATTGGCGTGAAGTATATAAATTTATATTAAAAAAAGTTATATTACTTTTTAATGTGTATCTGAGTATTCATATACTTGTATATTAAGAAATATAAACTCTTTTGTTTTTTAAGGTTATATCACTGGGTTTGACGGAAATGCTCAGTTTGAAAGAATAGGTGGAGGTAAGTAATAAGGTACTTTGTATTCAGAACCTTATCAATTATAACTTAGTGGTCTTTAAAATTTTATTATACTAATTTGACCTCCATATATTCCTTAAAAATTCTTTTTATTATAACATGAAAATTATATTAAGTTTTTTCTAAACTGTTTAATATTTAAATCTTATACATTGTTCAGGTTAAGCATATCTTTTCTGATAACAATCTCAATTCCGGTATGATCATTTTTACTGAAAATAACTAAAAATCATCTAATAAAAAAATTTAAAAAAGAACAAACAACAACCAAAGCTGTCTAAATGCAATTTTTGTAATCCTTTATGACTATCAGTATGTAGAAAGAAACATTAGAAATTTTGTTTTTGGTACTTTCTGATTACTTGACGAATATCCATCATAAAATACTTACTATGGTATATCAAGAACTTAATCATAATCGGACTTAAAGCTGGTGCAGTGCCAAGCATCACAAGTGTGTGAAGTAGTCGTAAACCAGAACTAGGACTGGAATGCGAGTAGTTGTAGGATATGTGTATAAGTGAGGATGCTATCTTTTGTATATAACAAAGTAGCATGTAGTTTAATACAGTGTCTTGTGAAATAATTACCTACTAAGGATATTCTGGCAATGAAAAAATCGATGTCAGATTTTTTTTAAATAAGAAAAGTGCCTTCACTACATGTTTCAGTTCTATCAGAATAACTTAAAGATTAGGAGAATTCCCCCGAAGACTGCTCAAGGTAAAGCTTTTATAATAATCTTTCTTTTGGAGGATTCACCATGGAGCAGCTTGTAACTGAATTAATAGAGCAGAATAGAGCTCTAATGGAGAGACTAATTTCAGCTATTACTCTACAAATGGACAATTAGAAACTTTCGGTTCAGTTTGAAAAATATAATGAACACAAAAGAACAGTTTGATTCATTTTTGGAAAATTCGAAGTTATTTAGACATGCAAAATGTTCAAGACAACATGGAAGTACTGATTTCCAATTTGTCCGTAAAAATGTATAGTCTCTTAAAAAACTTGCTCTGATAACCCTTCCGATAAAGATTATGATGTGTTAAAAACAACATTGAGAAATGTTGTTTGAAATTCTAAGCCTTTTATAATTCCTAGCAGGCATGTATTTTAAATCGAAAGCAGCAGGAGGGGGAAACAATAAGTGTGTATATGGCAGAGTTAAGGTCACTTGCCATACTGTGTGCTTACGATCAGAACATGTTAAATATGATGTTGTGGGATGTGTTTGTGAGTGGGCTAAGTGATAGGGTTATTCTTGACAGAAATTTTGAACAGGATAATGTCAGTTTAGATGATACTTTAAAAATAACTTTGGCAATGGAAAAAGTGTTAAAAGGTGCAAACAAAATAATTAGGAAACCAGTGGAAATTAAGGAATTTAGTGCCAGGAATAAAGGTCATACACTCGAAAACAAAAGTTTGAAAATCAAAACTTCTCAGCTAAGAATACTAAAGGCAAAATGTGTTCGTGATGTACGAGGACTGACCATGATAGAAATTCTTATAAATTTTAGACAAGTATCTGCAGATTTTGTAAGAAAATCTGGCACAATGAAAGCACATGTTATAATGCTAAAAAACGCTGAAAGAATGAAAATGAAACAAACACAATTAGACATAGGAAATAAAAATACAGTTCCTATAAACAACATACATTCCAGTGAGGTGAAAAATAGGAAATCGCCCATGAAGTGAACGTAGAAGGGAAACAGGTAGCTATGGAACTGGATACAGGGGGTGCAGTATCAGTAATGAGTTTAAAAAATTTCCGCAAAATTTTGAAAAAGAAAATTAAAAATACAAGTCTGGTATTTAAAACATATAATGGAGGATGGAGGAAAGCTGATATCTTTAGGATTTACTACAGTTAAGGTAGAATAGTTAAGGTAGAATATAAAGGTCAAAATAAAAACTTAAACCTTTATATTGTTAAATAAAACCTTGATACAATATTTGGTTGAGAATAGCTTTCAGAGATAAATTTAGATTGGACCTCAATAAAGTGAATTTTTGTGTCTCAAAAGAGTAGTTTAAATAAATTATTGGAACAGTGTAAAGAGATTTTTGATGGAAAATCAGAAGAGATAAAAAAATTATGAGGTTCAACTTGAATTGAAGCCAAATGTTTGACCAAAATTTTATAGAGCTAGGCAAGTACCATTTGAATTAAAGGGCCGGATAGATGAAGAGATTGATTACTTGAAAAAAGAGGTATAATCAAAAAGGTTAAAATATCAGAATGGGCTACTCCGGTTGTACCAGTAGTTAAGCCAGACGGCTCTATACAACTGTCTGCCAACTACTCGGTGACAGTAAATCCAAATATTGTTATGCATCAACACCTTTTGCTGACCATTGAGGAAATATTTTCATGTTTGAGCGGGTGAAAGCATTTTTCAAAAATTGATTTTAAACATGCTTATTTACAAATGAAAGTATACCCTGAAATTAAAAAATTGCTAATAATAAACACGCAGAAGGGATTATATTAAAGATTAATGTTCAGGCTAAATGCAGCATCGGCAATCTGGCAACATTACATTGACAGACTATTCTAAGGAATGGAAGGGTGTAACGTCTTCATGGATGATGCACGAATAACAAGGTCTGATGATGAGGCACATTTAAATACTTTAAAAAATATCTTCGAGAAATGTAAAACTCACGGGCTGAAATTAAATTTAGAGAAAAGTAAATTTTTTCAGGATGAGATACAATTTTTAGGTCATAAAATTGATACTAATGGTTTACATAAAACTGATGAAAAAGTATCAGTGATTGCTAAGGCCCCAAGACCAAGAAATGCCCTGGAAATTCAATGTTTTTTGGAATTGGTTAATTTTTATGGAAAATTTTGCCCTAAATTAGTAACAGTCACAAATCCCTTATACCGTCTAACTAAGAAAAACTCAAAATGGGTTTGGACAAAATATTGTCAGGAAGCTTTCCTAAACATTAAAAAAGAATTATGTTCACAAAAAGTTTTGATGCATTATGATCCAAAATTGCCATTAACATTAGCAACTGATGCATCATCAGGGGGGTTAGATGCAGTACTTCCTCACAAACTTTCTGATGGAACTGGAAGGCCAATTGCATATGCTTTTCTAGAACACTGACTGAAACAGTGAAAAAGTATTCTCAAACTGATAAAAAAGCTTTGTCAATCATTTGGGGAAGTAAAATTTTTTCTTTACTTAAAGGGCAATAAATTTACATTAATTACAGACCATAAATCTCTTGTTGCAATTTTCGGTTCAAAGAAAGGCATGCCAGTTTTGGCAGCAACAAGACTTCTGCATTACGCTTTGAAGTTAGTCTTTCCAATTCGACATTATTTACTGTAAAACAGATGAGCATGATAATGTTGACTTTCTGTCACGATTGCCAACGAACTCAGGGCAACTGTCTGTTCAGGATGATGTAATTATTTTTCAATTACAACAGATTGAAACTCGATGCTCACTCAAAATGGTTAGAAGCCTATCCAATGAAATCAAGCTTGACTTTCAAAACAATAGAATGTTTACGGGACTTTTTGCATGGTTTGGATTACCAATATTGTTAGTGACTGATAACAATCCACAATTCACTTCACATGAGATCAAGATATTTCTGCAGAGTAACGGAAATCAAACACAAAACTACAGCACCATTTAAACCATCTAGTAATGGGCAGGTTGAATGGTATGTGTTTACAGTAAAACAATCTTTAAGAACCAAGAAAAATTATCCTGGAACTTTGAGACAAAAACTGAGCACATTTTTGATGCAATATAGGAAAGCTTCGAATTTAACTACTCTACAGAGCCCTGGAATGCTAATGCTGAAGAGGGAAATTTAAACAAGAATAGATTTATTGGGACTGTATCTCAAAAGGAGGGTGGAAGACAGAGTTCGAAAAGGAACCTATGAGTTTGCAGACTGAGGATTTAGAGTTGGCGATAAAGTGGCAGTAAGAAATTATCGTCAGGGTGACAGACGATGGAGATTTGGAACTGTCCAATCCAAGGATAGGCAGCTTTATTACACTATAAATGTGTATGGTCAGCTGTGGCGAGGACAAATCGATCAAATGCGTGATGGTGAAATCATGACAGATGAGGGTTTCATACGTCCACCTCCAGCTCAAGTGATTTCTAAAGAGCCTGATAAGAGTGGAGTTCCAGAACCATCCAAAGATAATAGCCACCAGGCAGATAAATCAGTTTCGTCTTCCAAGGCTAAGGTTTTACCAGCTTTCCACCACTGGCTGCTGTGATACAACAATTACCACGACACCAGTAGGGCCACAACCTTTACATCATCCATCGAATTATCATCCCCCAGATAGACTGCAGTTTGTGATAAGGGGGGATGTGGTATATCAAGAACTTCATCAGAATAAACTTAAATCTGGCACAGTGCTAAGCCTCGCAAGCATCAAATAGTTGTAACCAGAACACTACGGAATGGTAGTAAGTTTTAGGGATAATTAAAGCGAGAATGATATTTTTTGTATATAATAAAGTAGCATGTAGTTTAATACAGTGTCTTGTGAAATAATTACCTACTAAGGATATACAACACTTACCTTCTTCCAAGAAATCCTTTGTAGTTTTTTTTTTATGCTGTTATAAAAATAAAAGAATTTTACAAACTTGGCACTGCCCTTTGGCCATTATCATAATCACCCAACATTTAATTTCATGGAATGTGAATTCTTGAATTCTGTATGGCATATTTTGAAGAAATGTAAGCTTTTTTTTCATTGGTAGGCAACTGCACAGTTCCATTATGATTCCTTATTAGCCCCCTCCCCAAAATTACTCAATGCAGAAACATACACTTATCAAAAAATGACTATCAAATTCGGAAGGTGGAAATCCAGATATACTGAAATGCATGTCTTTTGTACATGTACCTGAGTTGCCATATAGGTACCTTTTGGAGACATCGTACTTTCAGGTACTTGTTCTAATATATTACCATTTTTTCAGCCATACTCAACTGACCATCTTGCGTTCATTAACCCCTTAACTGCCGTGGAAAACGTACAAGATTCATTTCCCAGTGCCACGGTTTTTCACACAGGCGCGCATAATTATGCAATGTATTACAGGGAAAATAAGTGCAAGTTTTACTTTATAAAAACTTTTTCTTCACAAATAAGAATAAAGAAAATGTGACAAATTTAAATTTTGAGTAAAAGTAAATCAAAGATGTAAGTTATAAAAATGATACTTTATATAAAAAATATCCTAATGGGTTTCTTTGATCAATTCATTTTTATCATTAAAGTGTAATATCAGGTTTCAGGTTTCACCTGTAATCAGTATGCCTAAAAACATATTTTCTGAACTGTGATCATGATTTTCTTGATTTTCGTTTGCAAGGTGTTGGTTATATACTTGTCTACAAATGGTTATTTCAATACAAAGAGCACGAGCAGTCTAAAAAATAATCAAAAGATAATGGGTTTGAACTCCATTATACGTCAAAAGTCTAATCGTACTCATCGGGACTCGGCGTTCCGGATATCCTTTCGATTATGATCATCAGTTTAAATTCTGGTAAGATGGCAGAGAATTATAAAATTAAAAATATGACTGTAATTTGAAATAAAGAGCAATTATGATCTAAAGGGTATCAAAATTTACAAAAAAAAAGCTTAATATTATTTACTTTATTAAATTTCTTTCACAAGCGCATGGTGAAGCATACTTACACAGTCAAAATTAGAAATGCAAGCAAAAACTGTTTGTGTATTGTGATATTATTATGATGAAATTTGATTTAAATCATATCAAAGACGAGTACATCGAGATGAAATACGAATTAGGATTATAGCCGAATAAAATGAAACATTGCCCTAAAGATGAGGAGTGCTGACAGATCAACTTCCAGTTCATTGCGCACCACGACGGCTTCCCCCGCAGAGCAGTGAAGTTGATAAACAGATTTTGGATGGTAGAGAAACAAAGGATATGCCTTTATCCATTTTTTGAGCAGTTCCTATTTTTTGTTTGTGGACATCGAAAACATGCTTTCGCTTTAGATCCTTTGGTAGCTTCAAATTGGAAATCTTTTGACATAATGAAAGTTCAAGCTTACTTTTATAAATACTCTAAAGTCTGCAAAAATAATAAGAGGTCCAATTCGAAGATTAAGAACACGATCTGCAACATTAACTGAAATAGATTAGATAATTTAGCTTAGCTTATACCGTCGTATACATTAAACACGCATGCATAAATGTATTATGCGCATGGATAAAGGTATTATGTGCATGCATAGTCGCATTATGGGTTTACGCATGCGCAGAAAGTTTGTAGCTTTGAGTTCCAGATTATAGATCATTCCGGATTATGGACGTCCGGATTAAAGGCTTTTGACTGCATCTTTCTTTATTCCTGGAACCTACTACAAAAAGTAAACGTAGGACACAGAATAAAAAAAAAAAATGCGTTTTACTCAAACAACACCAGCCAATATTGCGTAGTCATTACTTTCACCGCTTTAGACACATGCCTCTCTCCAATTTCTCTCCACAGTTCTCTGAAATAGCATCCTTCTTCACATACTTTGTCAAGGTCATTGTGGGTTGTATTCCAAAGCTTTGCAAATAATTTTACGGGTAGCAGGGCAAAGCAAATGGTAGTATTTTGGAAGGGCGTACATAAACGCCCAAGGCGGTTAACACATCGGCTAAGCAAGGCGTATATATATACGCCAATGGCAGTTAAGAGGTTAATAGAATTTTTTAATGGTAAGGTCACAGAATTTTTAAACAATCCACTGCATGCTGTTCTGTAGAAAATAGGCCCCAAATTTTATTTATTTATTTTTTTTCAAATGGCAAGAAAAATTAAGCAATAACTGTTCTGTTATATCCTTGTTCCTAAGAGCAAAATTTGGCTTACCAAGAATCAGTCAGGATTACATGAAATGAAAGGGCAAATATTATAATTGTATTGTTATGTTATGCTTACCCATAAAGGATGTTAAATCACTCTGCGTGGCCATGGTTTTATGGTTGATAGGATAATACATAAGTGTTTTTTCCCATGCATTATATACAAAAAAAAAAAAAAAAAATCCCACTTAATTGTGTATTAATTTAAAAGAAGTATTGAGTAGAATTGTAGGGATTTATAATATCTGCCCTGAAGTCATATGTAAACTGTGAAGTAACCATGTTAATTATGCTTTTTAAGAAATTTTAACAACTTCGTAACATTTTTACTATGTTAGAATATTGCATTGGTTAGTAATAATATGACTAAAAAAGACTGGATTATTCCTCTTGCTTTGCTTTTTAAAAGTATTTTTAACGAAATGTGATTCCAACCTTTCAAAGATAAACTACATACAACAGTAGTTATACAACATCATTAGTTGTAAGTAATTGAAAGTAACTTAAGTACTTACTTTCATTTACTAGAACTAATACTTAACAAATATCTATTTTTGTAAATCAATTCAAAACCTAAATTATTTTTAAACTCTTTACTACTGAAATTTTTATGAATATTTATTATAAAATACCTATGTACTAAGTAAATTATATGTATAAAATCAGTTATTCTTGTTAAGAATAATGCATATATGTTTGAGAATTGTTTTATAACTTTGTGCATTAAAAATTAAGCTGGAAACTATGCCTTACATTTGTTCTTGTTTCATATTTTAGAGTATTCAGCCAATATACCTCTTCGAGCCCTACGGGCTGTGCCAGCCTTTTTTGGGAGTATTTTAATTCCAACCGTATATTACTTAATGATTGAACTAGGTTTTACTCATAAAACTGCTATTTTGGCTGGTGTTCTCATGTTTTTTGGTAAGGCATCCATATCTGTTCAAAAGTAAATATTTATAATATAATTTTAAACAACATTAGAATAATAAGTATGTATTTAATATGTACATACATATTATTAAAGTGTTAATTATTTTTTGTGTAATTTAAATTAGATTATGTCAATGTTATAAAGAAAAATGCTTTATTCATGTCAAAGATTTTTATATATTCGCATTTTACATGAATTTAGAATATCTTTAACTAGATGCAAAACTTGAAAGTTGTTTGGTTATGTAATGCATTTTATGTGGGGAAAAAGCCTTAGATTGGGATAGATTCATACAGATCATCGATATTTCTGAAGAAAAAGGATTTATGTTACTCTCATTATGAAGTAATTCCCTTCCTTCATAAAGAAAAGGAAACTATGTCTGCTCTCTGCAGCATCTTTGTGAGAGGAGAGGTTGCCTAATTTTGCATTTTACTATGCTGGGTATCTTGCCCCTATGCATTCTGTGTGCATTTTCATAACTTGATGTTAATCACTTTTAATTGCATTTTCAATATGTACATATCAGCCTCTACCAGAAATTTTGGTTGGTGTCAGGATTTTTCCTAGACTTGAGCCCAAATCTTCTGAGAATTCTTCAGTTCTCATGCAGTGAATTTTACTTCCAGTAGGATTAAGTTATACATCAATAATGAAAGTATGTAGTATAACATTGTTACAGGCAAATGGTATAAATGAGAGTAGAGAATGGTTTAGAGAAAGTTGGATCACATTTATAACAATGGTGAAAGAGTTTTATATTAATCAATTAAAAGAAAGTATTGATGAAATAATTTATATCAGTCAATCAAAAAAAAAAAATAATAACATGGTAGAGAAAAGTATCTTAGGTTGAAACAGCTATTTTCAACAAATTTGCAATACTGAAAGGAATTTTTTTTTAAATGGTCAGAAAAATTGCTTTGCCATCAGCGTAAGTTGCTAATAGTTTTTAATGTAAAATTACTGCATTCCATTCTGTCTGATTTTTTTTTTTGGGGGGGGAGACACCTGAAAAAAAAAATTTGTATACAAAAGCACGGGAAATACATCATTTATTTTGACCAACAATTCAGTTAATGTTATCAAAATATTGCAGAATAGATTTTTTTAAGCTCATGTAAAATCATCAAATAAAAGAAAAAATTACCAAACAAAATATAAAGTTACCAAATAAGATCGAAATAGTGCATAAAAATTGTCAAATGGTAAAGAAATGTCACCAAGTAAGAGATCACGTCACTAAGCAGCTACATTTGCATATATCCCTCTGACTGGTATGGGGTTTCACTAAAAAAAGCCCAAATTTCTCAAAACTGCCCAGAGAAAGAGTTATTTTCTTGATTTTAATGCCCATAACCCTGTATACATGGATTTATGTACTTTTAATATAGTCCCTTAATTTCTTGTACATACTTAAAGATGCATGTATATATACTTCCTTAAAGACGTCACAAAAATCATTGTAGGTTATATTATATAGAATTGCTGGAGAATACTGATAGGTAAGACTATCATGTGCAAAGCAACCCGTTTTCCGAGGTGTAGAAAAATAGCTGGATTATTCAGAATTAGCAAGTAATGAAGGGGAATTCTCGATGACTTTTCTTTTTCAAAACAGCTGAAAAAATTTCAAGTTGAAGCATTATTGACGGAAGTTATCTGCTAGGCATTTTCTGAAACAAATGAAAGAACTTGATATGATAAACTTTCTGAGGAAGGAAATGATAAAATTGGTGAATTTTCTACAAATGCTATGATGAGGGATGCCATAAAAATATTAGGAGTATTTGTGTAGAATTAGTTAAATTTATTATTATTTTGAAGGTTATTTTTCTCATTGCTTAGTGTTATCAAAATAGTTCTGGACAAATTAATCAAATTAAATGCACCTACTGTAATTAATTTTGAACATTTTTGGTAGAAATGGAAGTTTTGTTTGCATATAATTAAATGTAATTAAGAATGCATAATATGAATTTTTTTAATATTCAGATTATACATGTAAAGATTAACTGCATTGTTTTTCAGAAAATGCATATTTAACTCAATCTCGATTCATCTTGATGGAAAGCATCCTAATATGGTTTTCTGCATTTGGAATACTAGCATATTTAAAATTTCGAAAAATTCGATGGTATGTATTTTGAATTATTTACCTGTTTGAATATATTTCACATGTTAAGTATCTCTAATATGCTTTATATTGCAGTTTTTGTATTTAATAAAAATGCTTTTTATTGTATTATTGCAAGTTGAACAAATTAAGAAAGCTAAAATTTATTTTAAATGATGTAATTCAAATATGTAATTTAAATATAAACACAAGTTTAAAGGGTTTATAGCGGTTACATTTGTATTCGTCCTTGTTCTTCAAATGATTTTTAACTAGTACAACAAAATAAAGCAATAAAATTCTAAGTTTATGAAGGATCTAGGCAATATTTCAATGCTCAAACTTTCTGAGCCAATGAAAAAATCTTTCTGAGCCAAAGTCTTTTTCCGATGATTACTAAACTCAGAATAACTTAAAAAGCTGAATCAAACAAGCTAATAAACCAATTTGATTGCAGAGCATAAAATAGTTGTAGTTATTTTTCATGTAAATAAAAAGTAGTTACAGAATGAAAAGAATTGCTTGCCACTTGCAACAGGTTCATGTTTTTTTTTTTTTTAGATTTGTCTTTCTTAAACTAAGTATATTCCCCTCATCTGTTTGTAATGA